TAAGAGTTTTGAATACTTAAAGCAAATTCAGCCCAAGCACAAAAACAGCAAGTTAATCTTTCCTTTTTTATTTCTGTAAGTTCAAACCATTAGCCAAATGGTTCAAAACAATAAACTAAAATTTTTCAACCAATCATTTTTTTGCTACTGTAAGGAAGACCAAGCTCTGCTTTGGAAGCATTCAGATTTTGCATATTTATTTATTTTAAAAATAAACATGCTAATCAGAAATCTATACTAATTCTTTTGTATTTTTAGTAGAGGCAGGGTTTCACCATGTTGGCCAGGATGGTCTCGATCTCCTGACCTCATGATCTGCCTGCCTCAGCCTCCCAAAGTGCTGGGATTATAGGCATGAGCCACTGCGCCAGGCCTGTACCCTTTTATTTATGTGTTTATATTACACTCAAGCTTGTTGGAGAAAAGAGACACAGAATTGAGTTACTGGACAAAAATAAAGACCAAGAAGCACATTTAAAAACCTGAAGAAAATTCACATTTTAGAAACTAAGATGCATGTTTAAAAATGTTTTCATTTGGAAAAATCACATTTTGAAGAAAAGCACCTAAACAGCCAGAAACAGTGGCTCCACATCTTCCCCACAGTTCAGTGGCAAAGGCTCATGCTACAGATGCTTTGATAATAAACTCTTTTTCATTAGCACTGTAGGGCTTTATGCATTATAAAAATATGGCCAATTTGTAAATGCCCAACAGCAGTCAAACACTGCCTTATGTGTCAACTGAGTTAGCTGCCATTTGGAATAATACTTGGATTCAGCACAGAATACATATCAGAGTGATTCGGGATGGAATTACTTGCCACCCTTGGAATGAACCTGAAACGCTGAAGACGAACAAATTCATTTGGGAAATAAAAATGTAATCACCCTCCCTTGCATCTGTTGCAACAATTCAACCTGCAGTGAAACACTTGTATCAAGTGTGTGGGGTATTTTCACTGCCATTCCTTTTATAATCTTCTTTACCAAAAACAGTGATAACATATTCTTTCATTTGGAATTTTTTTTATACCAAGGAAACTGATCTTAGTAGGATTTGTGACAAAGAAGTATGCAATCAGTCAACAAATATTATCCCAAGAGTAGGAACAAATAGAAATCAAATAATGCAAGGAAATAACTGGAAAGCTTAATTGTGATTATCTCTGAAATTGTTTTTTCTTTATGTTTTACTGTATTTTCTACATTTTCTAAAATGAAAATGCCTAAGTTTCATCACTGAAAACACAAATATTATTAATTTTTAAAGAGACTAGGGTAAAACAGGAGATGACTGTCAATGCATTTAAGATAATATGAAAGATCATGTGCATCTTGGAAATGAAAATGTATGACTTCTTCCAGAAATTGCCTGAATTCAGATCCAAGTACCTCCTGATGCTACATAACCACAAATCACCTAAAGAGAGACTTTTCTCTTGCAGCACAATGCACTTCTTTTATCAATGAGTACAAAGAATCTTTAACTGAATTCAATTTCAGGAACATAAAGTATCGCTAGTATAAAGTGAAACCATCCAATAAATGGCTCCACGATGCCGAGTGCTATGAAGAAAAATCCAGGAGCATTCTATTTTTTTCACAACCCATATTTTTAAATCATTACTGATTTCTGAAATAATACACCTGTTATCTAAACTTACGCTTGCTAAGTCAAGCTTTGCCAAACAGGAATCTGAGGGCTGGGTTATTTTTAAAGTTTTATATCTGACTCACACTCCCTTTCAAACTTTTTGAGCCTAATCCCATGAAATTTCCTAAGTGAAATTCCTATTCTTTTCCACAAAGGCATGTGCACACGTATGTGAAACCCATGAAGACCCTCAGAGCTTCACTAGGGCTGCGTGCTCACCAGCTTGACTGTTAAGTGACAATAACTTCCCACGGGTTATTTTATTTAATCTTTGCAACAGCTGAAAGGGGTAGAAATTACTACATTATCTTTAAAGATGAGAAAATCAGGCTTGGAAACTGGCTTAGAGTCATTTAAATAAGGGCCAGACTTCTTTTTTTCTGTTATTTATGAAATGTCTATAATGTACCATGCACTGCTGTAGAATAGAAAACTACAGCCCATGCTTTTCGGGTCAACAAACTTTTGGAACATACTTATGATAAGAATATAAAAGGTTGTTATCTGAAATGCAAATTTAACTGGGCATCCTAGATTTTTATTTGCAATCTGGCAATCCCATGTATTCATGTCCACCATGCCGTATGGCATGCCAGGTTGACTCAGTGGCCCATCTAATCCTTCCCAGCAGACCATGTTGATATGCAAAGGATGGAGACCTCCAAGAATGTTGGGATGAGGACTCCAGGGATATTGGGATGCAGATTCAGGGGCCCTGGGATGGAAGCCACCAGAGACATTGGGATGGAGACTCTAGGGACATTGGGATGGACACTCCAGGGACTTTGGGATGGAAACACCAGGGACATGGGGTGGAGGCTCCAGGGACACTGGAATGGAGACACCCCTGAGACACTGGGATATAGACTTCCAGGGATGCTGAGATGGAAACCATCAGAGATATTGGACAGAGACCTTTAGGGATACTAAGAGAGAGACCCCACTGACACTGGAATAGAGAACTCCAGGGACTCTGGGATGGAGACCTCCTGGGACAAGTATCCCTTGAAAACAATTCTCAGTTGCTATCTGTAGCCAGAACAGGAGCATAAGACATCTCTTCACAATACCCTAATTTCCTCCGTGGCTTCTCACATCCCTTAGGAAAATCTTGAGTCACTAAACAAAAGCCAATCACTTGCAAAGAATGTAGTGCTGCTCTGTTCACACAGCACCCAGGACCTCCAGAGACAAAGTCATAGTAAAACCTTTCCAGAATTCTATAGAGATGAATGACGGATGCAATACTCAAAACACTACTTGGAGTCATATTTGTACCTGCTCTCTCCATTAAGGGGTCTGTTCCCTTGGCTCAGAGTGAAAGCTCACTTTCCCTCAGGGTGAGCTTTGGTGTATACAGCCTGCCACTGGTTCACGCCTTTGCCAAATGTAGGTATCTGGGATAAGCTTTTATAATCCCAACCCCCTTTTCTATAAGTGTTCACCCAGATGCAGAGGGGAACAATTACCAATTCAATTCTGGAAATAAATGTGTTGAATCAACAGTTATCTATGAGCTTCTATGAGCAGTAAAAATCTGTGCTATACTCTGCAGAAATAAAGAAAAGACAGGTACTTCCCTTGTCTTCGGGTAAGTTGCCATCTGATAAGGGGGACTTGTCAAGAAATAATGCAGTATTCTACAATAAGTGCAGAACAAAAAAGGCAGATGTCAGGTGGGCACACAAGGCAGGGGATGTGGCAGCTCGGAACTGATGCTGACCTGTGAGCCAGGTCCTTACTACAAGTGGGAGTTTACCAAGCAGAGAATTTGGAGTAATATACCACCCAGGGATGGGTGGTAGCCAGTATTCCAGAAAATAATAAAGAGGTCAGAAGGGAAAACCCAGAAGCAGGAAAGAGCATATTCCATAACTGTAGACTGAATAAATAATTCCACATGCCTGGACCATGGGAGAATGAAAACAGGAAGTTTGGAAGGGAGATGAGAACGCAAGGTAGAAGAGCTGGCATACCACCCCAGGGAGCCAGCATTGACCCACTGGGAGCTACTGAAAGTGGGCATGTTTAAAAGGCGATGCTGGCTGTGGTATGCAGAAGGAGGAGAACATCTGGAGGCCAGGAGACCAATTCCCACCGCTGCAAAACACAGGCTGAACTCCAAGTGATGAAGTTTGATGGAAGCGAGCATCAGAAACCACCCAGTATTCTGACAGGACTAAAGTAAGGAAAAGAACACCAAGTAGCTTTGTCCCATCTATACTCACCGCCTCCTCACAAGCATCAGAAGAGCCGAAAGTAACTAGTTAGGTGCAATAAACTCTGCCAACCTCTACCTACTCATGTAAAATCACAACCATTCATCGCTTCAAGTGTTGAGTAGATGTACAAGGACTCCTCAAGATCTGAGAGCAAGAGCAGCAATCCTAGAATCTGTTCAGTGTTCACCTAGAGTGCCCAGTGTATAAGCTAGATTTAGTTTCACTCAACTTTATACAGAGACGGCAAAACCTCCATAGCTATGAAAGGTATGCTTTATACTCTGGATTTGGATGAAAAAGATAATGAACTCTCCACTGCCCAATGTGCCATCCTTAGGTGTCAGAAGAACCCAATTCTACATATGGCCCCTGTCTTCAACTTTAATATCAATTTTCTTAAAAGATGGATATACAATCCCCACATAGGTACATAGGTTTTCTAAGGAAGTGAGTGAAAAGGGGAGAAAGAACTCAAATTTGTTTTCATTGTGTTCTGGTGGCCTCATCGTCACACTGGGTTGCAGGTGTTGACCTAGATACGGGAACATGCACACCCTTAAGAGACACAGATGAAAATAACTTCCTTGAATTCTAACTTACGGTTATATGGCCTAATCAAGGTGACAAAGAAAGGTGGTGGTGGGCCTTGGAGTACACATCAAGATCTCTGGATCTCTAGAATCCTACTGAGGAATAAAGTGGGAAGTCAGGAACGTGGTTTCTGGAGTCAAACAGCCTGGGTTGGGAATCCAGGTCCATCTTTTCTTAGGCATATGCCCCTGGGCAACTGATTTATCTACTTTATCCCTCAGTTTCCTCATCTCTAAAACAGCAATGCTGATAGTACCTACCTCTCAGGTTTGAATGGAAGAACAAATGAGTTAATTCATGTTAGAACAGTTCCTGGCACAGGGTGAGGGCCCCATCAATGCTTGGTCTAAAGGGAAGCTGTCAACATCTTATTAGCAGTAGTATATTTTATGACACATACTGTATTTCATTCTTATAAGAAATAATATTGTTCAGCACTCTTCAGTTTTGTCAGGGAAGGTCACACGTAACTGCACAGATGTCATATGAAGTCCAAAAATATCTGCGGTGGCAAAACACAATATCTCTCACCTTGCTCCTACAACAAGTTCTTTCTGTCCTGGGTCAAATGTTAACTGCGAGAAATCCACAGCATTCTTCGCTCTGAACTCCCGTAACCAGGGGCCAATTTCTAAACAGAAAAAATAAATAAATAAAAAGATAAAAATGAATTATATTTCCTCTGGGGACCACAGAAAGCGTACATCAGGTAGCAAATGTTACATTTCAGAGAGGATTTGGAGGTTCCTCTATGCCATCCTTCAGAGGCCACGGGAGGTTTCCCTCAGGATGCCCCATAAGCCACACTAAGAACTTGTAAAGCACAGAGGGCAGCCACCCAATAAAGAGCAAGTGAGGCATCAATGCTTGGTTGTGATTTACAAGCCAGATGTGCATTTTCCTTTTGGCTTTGGGCTGGGCAGAAAATAACACAGCATTCACATGATTCATCAAAGGAATACTGAATGCAAACAAGACCATTTCCTGTGCAACTTAACTCAAAAGAGCTGAAGATTTTTTAATATTACAAAAGCCTCCTTAGGAGCAAGTACCAAGCACACAAGCACCATTTGCCTTCTTTTAAATTAGGCGTTCCATTTCCCTGCCCTTTGGGTTTCTATTCTGGCCCCATGATTAGACTTGTTAAACACATTCAGACCTTTCTAGATGAGAAATCCACAGTTACTTCTAGGCTTCATTTGCATTTTTTTTCTAAGGGAAATCAGGAGATAGCCACTCTATAGAGACAGGATTTTACAAGCACTGTTAACTCCTATTAGACAACCTCCAGCCCAGAGTCTGATTATTATAAAATGACAGTGTTTGAAGAGAGACAGAATGCTGCTTCAATGAGCCATTTTTGCAATTTTCATTAGCTAATTTCTAACACTAAAAAGTATTCAGTGAGTTGCCTGCCAGTCGTGGGATACCTCATCGTTATCATTGACAATTAACCATGTCATCTGATTGTCTTTTTCTCTTGGATTTAGTATTTTGAATAACCACACTGACTAACCAGGCACATAACAACTGTCAAATCAATGAAGTTATTGGTTGGAGGGAAAAGTGTGTAACACAGGAAAGAATCTCCCCCAGCAAACACTGATGCAAAAACATCAGTGTTATGTTTTTAATGGGGGCATATTTCTATATGCCCCCATCCCATATTATGTCCTGTATAAATTCCTTTGTTGATGTAATTGAGAGGAATTATTTTTAAGGACTATCTCTATATAATAAACGTGTCTTTTCTCTACTAACAGTTATTGGGGGGAAGTTATATCAAGTGAAATTTATCTTCTGCTTAAAGGAAACCAGGTGTGAGCTATATAGAGAGGGGCTTGAAACTGTAATGTGCATGATATCTTGATTTTTTAAGGATTTTTATATAAAGTGCTACATTTTGTAGGCAAATAAATGAAAACGAAATACATAGAACAAGATATGTACAAGGCACTGGAACTATAAACAGTTATTAATAAGCAACCCTTCCAGGAGTTTGTAATTCAGTTAAAGAAATAGCACTAGTATGTTTAAACAGGGTGTCTGTCAATGTAAAGTGTTTATTAGGGGCTTGTGGAGTTACAGGAGTTATTCTTACATGAAAGGAAGAGATGATTTGAGCTTTGGTAAAACAAAAGGAAAGATTTGAGCAGAGAGTGACAGGAAAGATGTCCTAGAGGGTCAAAGCAAGACAGCAACATGGGAGGCCGTGGTGCCCCCTGTGGCTATAACTGGTATAACTCACGTTCACTCCATCAGTGTCTCCATTCCAGGGCAAGAGAGAGAACCCAATGGCCATTGTGTCTGCACTGCTCCCTGCAGTGCCTGCTGCATACAACACAGCATCTTGAATGTGACAGGCAATAATAAATGTGTGAAATGAAGTAAGAACAAGTAAGCGAATTCAAGAGATGAAGAATAAAAAAGGAAAGGAAAGAGGAAAAAGAGAAAATAGAAAAGAAAAAGTAACAGCAACGTAAGAAGCTACTAGGAAAGGGGAAACGGAAAGATGTATTTAAATACGAACTGTAGAAAAATTCACTTTCATGTTAAAAGGTTTGGGCTTGATTTCATATATGACAGCAAAGCTTTAAAAAGTTATCAGGAAAGCACTTGACCCATTCGAGCAGATGTCTTTGGAATTTGAATGAGCACTTGATGGAAAGCATGGTCTGGAAAGGGCAGAGAATGGAGGGAAAAATAGCAGATTTTTAAAAACCTAAAAAACATACAATTTAGGTAGTGGTTTTGAAAATGGATAAAGACGTGGGATCTGCAATGGCAAAACATTCTACAAAACATTCTATAAATGAACATTCTTCATTTCTGATTTAGAAATGAAGTCAAGGAAAACAAGTTAAACAGAACAAAACAATTTCCAAATTAAATGAAGAAGAAAACAGTGATGACTGAGACAGGCAGCAGGAGTCTGAAGTGACTTTAGAGAAAGAGAATAACGTCAGATTATTATCTTTCAACAATGGGAATGTTGCACATGAAAAATTTCCCATGGCAGTTTGGCCTCGCAGCCATTGTTAAACATCCCTAAGTCCTCTAAGTGTCCATAAAGACGTTCTAGTTGAAGAGGTTCATCATTCAGAGGGGAAACACATGACCAGGGAGCACTGCCAGCACCAGGCTCCAGAGTGAACATCAGGGCTCTGTTCACCACAACTCACAGCCCCCAGACCTGGGCTTGCATCCAATCTTCCAACTGCATGAGGGAAGAACAGAAGGCCAAGGGCTGACCTTCCTGCTGGGGGAGTGAAGAGATGAGCCTCTAAGACAAAGGCTATGAAAGATAGAGAAATCAGTTTACTTATTTCCCATGCATGCATCTTTCTCGTTAGTTGGAAGACTGGGAAGAAAGTGTCTAACAGGAACCAGGCTAAAGAGGCATACATCAGGTTTCGGTCCCTGCACTGAACAACAGGAAGGCAGTTATACTACTGCCTAAAATACCCTCAAGTAATAAAAGGAGTCATGTACAAGGAAAAAATGAGTTAACAGCATATAGTTCTGTCAATATTGTTCAATTTCCTTATTTGAAATTCTAATGAACTTCCCCAGTAAAACTGTATGTTTTTATGGTTAACATAGATCAAAGTTGAGTAATCTGCATATTCTCTTCTTTCTGACTTTCCTCCAGAAGGTCTGCCATCTCAATTTTGCATATTACATTGGCTTCTATCTCACCAATAGAAGCTTGCAAGGCTCACCATGAGAGCCTTGCAAGAAAGTCTCTCCACCAACCCATCTCTTGAGCTAAAAGCCTGGAGCAATACCTATCCTCCCAACTTCCCCAGCAGATCAGACAAAAGTCACTCTATCCTCTTTTCAAGGACCAGTTCCTCTCATCTCTTCTTTCCTCTTTAAATGCTTCTCTAAATTACCTAGGCTTTCCTCTAAAATCTCTGATACTACCTGGTCCATTTCCCCCTGCCTGTAAGTATATGCACATCCTCTCCCATTTTAAAAAATATTATATATTTTTATTACAATCACTTGTTATTATACCTAAAAAAAACAAATAAAATGCATAATAAACTTCCAAGTACAATACAGGAATATTTCAAAAAGAAAAAAAAAAAAAACAGGCTCAGTTTTACATGTGAGCATTATCAAATCCTTAGGGAACATGTAAGGCCAAGTTTACACAAGTTTTCTTAGACGTAGAAGTAAAACTTCCCAACTCAATTTGAGGCTACTACAATCCTAACAATCTTGATATTAAGTCTGAACAAGGATATTATGAGAAAGAAAACTCACAGGTCAACTTCATTTAAGAACTTGACAAAAACATTCCTAAGGAAATGCATGATTAACTAATCTCTCACACACATACACAGACACACACACACACACACACACACACACACACAATTTCATATGGAATCAGGCTTATCCCAGAAGCACAAGGATGGCTCAGCAAGCTTAATAACAGAAAACCTATTAGTGCAATTCATCATCAAAATAACATATTTCAATAGTAGCAAGATGAAATTGTCAATAGCGTTTTCTAAGGAATCAGAAAATGAGTAGTTATGGAAACAGAAGAGCTAAACGAGTTCAGGGCAATTGGTAGCACACTAGAGAACAGAGGAAGTTTGGGGAGAGTGAGGGAGAAGGGGGGCAGCACAGCAGATGGTAAATTAAGGGGATACAATTTTCTGTAATATTAGAATGCTCATTGCCCCAAACAGTTGAGTTTACCTTTTTGCACCTGTCCCTCTTCTCTGATATATGATGAAACAGAGCTTAAATATGGCAGCCAATATGACTATATATATATATATGAAATATTGGAAGTTAAGTTATAACATAAAATTTGTAAATTCCAATTAATACTTGATAGATATTTCATAATATTTGACGTTAACTATCCTAGATAATCCAATCTTTACACAAATGTGATTGTTGAAATACTGTCTCCAGCAATGATTTTCTATTGCAAAATTAGGTGTATCGATTCATATTTGCCTTCTCTTACAGCTACATAAGCTCCCACGTGATTGGTGTGTTCATTTTTTTAACATAAGTGTAATTCCATATTTTAAAGAATCCAGTCTTACAACTTCAAGAAACAATTTCTTTTATGAACAAGTCAGTATTAATAAATTTAGTCCAAAATATTTGACAAATATAAACTAGAAACTAGCTAAATAGATTGACGTTAATGTCCCTTCCAAAAAAGAAAAAAGAAAAAAAAGAAAGAAAAACATGCAAAGAAAAAAGAAAGCCAAAGAAAAAGAAAGAAAATAAGGGGTAAAAGTTACTATTTTTAAAAAGCAGACACTCTAAAGATAGCCACGGTAATGATGCTTGTAAGCCAAAACAACAACAAATAAACAAACAAACAAAAGCTTTTAAAAGAACCTGATAAATAAGAATCACAAATAGATTTGGCTGTGGAAAAACAGCTCTTGTGGAAGATATGATGGTCGTTCTAAAATCTGAATTGACAGCCACTCCGCATGCTAATGTCTCCAGCACCAACTGTCCAGAAATCAAGCCGATGTGTTAACAAACACTGATCAAGGAAACTCCCGGGTACACTAAGGGATGGCTCTGGACAACTGTTTCTTTCCTCACACCTTCAAACTTCAATTAATTAGGGGCTGAGAAAGC